AGATGGCTATACTTTTTGAAGTCATTGCAATAGAAACTATACGTATGGTTTCGGCAAAAAAATATCATGAACCAGGAGAAAAATAAAAAAACTTTCAAAATATCATAAATATTTTTTCTCTCAGCTTTTCCAATTACACGGTATAAATGCACAAACCCGATATTATGCTTATCTTGCATATGCTTGGATATTTTTCAGACCGTTTTCAAAAATAACATTTTCCGGTTTACGGTTTCAGTGATATTGATTTTGCTTTAACAAGCAATTAACAACAACAATAGCAATACTCTTGTGAAGTTTTACGATGATCAGAAAAAAAAACCGTAGGAAAGAAACGGAACTCCGATCTTGTGCACACAAAATGTAATGTTGGACATTACGTTTTTGCGTAAAAATGGGATAATTAAGTGTTATAATTCTTGATATTTTAAATTTCGGTTCCTTTTTTTCTTAATTTTCAAGATTAATGTAATAAACTCAACCAGAAATCACTATATTTTTATCGAACTGACCAGTCTACGCATTTATTTTCATGCTAATCTATAGCAAAATGGAATTCGTACCAACATCGTGCGCAATGTCTTATCGTTCCTCTTGCATGCACCTAACGTATACGGACTTATTCAATTTTCTCTGTACGTCTGGTGCACGTCGGGCTATACGCCAATGTGTGACGCCGGAATAAGGCTTAGTCGACGTACTGAATTCAATCGCTGTCACATTGTTTCCTATTGTACTGTTTAATCAGCACGACCTTATAAGATGGCATTACGAATACTAAAAATCCAAACTTAAAATATTATAAGGCGTATAGGAACAGTTTACAATTTGTTAGCCGGCATGACAAACACTTATATTTTTGTAATATTTCTAAATCTTCGAATGATGGAGTTACACCTCCAGATTTACCACTTCGTACCCAACATAGCTTAGATATTGATGAAGTAACGGAGGATGAGATTAAAGACAAGTCATACTCAAATCTTTGGAAATTGGTAAAGCATCCCGTGAAGATTGTATTAGTCATCAAATGTTGAAATATACTGCTAATAGTGTGTGTGTACCTTTATCATATATATTTGATTGTTCAATGAGAACTTCAAAATTTCCAAGTTGCTGGAAAGTTGCTAATGTTTTAGCTTTTTTTAAAAAAGGGGATAAATCGGTGGTTTCAAACTATCGTCCTATTGCATTGTTAAGCTGTGTGGGTAAAGTTTTTGAAAGAATAGTTTATAAACATATTTTTAATTTCATTTTTGAACACAAGCTATTGTATAAATTCCAGTCAGGTTTCGTTCCTGGTCATTCAACATTTCGTCAAATGATTGAGATTTATCACAGAATTTGTTTAGCTATGGAAGATAAAGAAATTATGTGTATGATTTTTTGTGTTATCTCGAAGGCTTTTGACCGACTTTGGCATAAAGGTCTATTAGCAAAAATCAAAACTTATGGCATAAAAGGCAAATTATTGGTGTGGATTGAAAATTATTAATGTAATAGGAAACAGAAAGTGCTTCTAAAAAATTCAGAATCTGCATTTGGAACATTAAAAGCCGGTGTGCCCAAGGCTCAGTACTTTGGCCCATATTATTTCTTATGTTTATAAATGACATATCAGATGAAATTCAATGTTTAGTTAGACTTTTTGCCAATGATAGTTCACTTATGTATTCCTCGAATGATGCTATAGATATATTGAAAGGAGATTAAATATGGATCTAGAAACATTAAATGATTGGTCAAAACAATGGCTTGTAGATTTTAATCCTCAGAAAACAGAATATATGGTTTTTAATTTCCGTAAGGATTCCCAGCCTATCAATTTGAAATTCAATGGACAATTTATTAAAAAGGTTGATGACCACAAACATTTGGGTGTTACTTTTTCTAATAATTGCAAGTGGTCAGTACATATAGATAATATTTGCTGTAGTGCCTCTAAACAGATTTTTGTGCTGAGAAAATTGAAATATATTCTTAACAGAAACAATCTTAATAAGATATATCTTGCATACATACTTCCACTTTTAGAATATATATATGCATGCGAGTTATGGGATGGATGTTGTGTTAGAGATTCTGAAAAAATTGAGCGCTTGCAGCTTGAGGCAGCCAGAATTATTACTGAACTTCCGCAATTTTCAAGTAAAGAGTCACTACTTTTTGAAACTGGATGGGAAACTTTGAGTTCTAGAAGAAATAGACGTAAATTATGTTTATTTCATAAAATAAACAGCAATAATGTTCCAGAATATCTTATGGATTGTATCTCGGATTATACAGATGATAATTATTATAATACTAGAAACCGTTCTCACTATAGAGTACCGAGATGTAGATTGGACATATTTTCTAAATCTTTTTTCCCTTCTTCAATTCGTACATGGAATTTATTACCGTTAGATATTAGATCCATACAATCATCTCCAAATTTCAAAAACACATCCGGCGAAATGATATTTCATTTTTGGTACCTCAATATTATTTCATTGGAAACAGGATGAAAAATATACTGCATACAAAATTACGACATACATGTAGATGTAGTCCTTCAAAAGCTGATTTATACAGAGGTAATTTAGTAAATGACCCAAGTTGTGAATGTGGGTGTCCATTAGAAGATTCGATTCATTTTTTCTTAGAATGTCCACTCTACATAAATTTTAGAAATCAGCTCTTTGGATCCATTCAACACTTAGCTGCTATCTGCATAGAACATAATTTATTTGGAACAGACAAAATTGCTGTTGAACAAAACACAATCCTTTTCAGAAATGTACATAGTTATATACGCCATACAAAAAGATTCTTTGATTAATATTGCTGTATCTTAAAGTGTACTCGTATCCAACTGTAACTGTTTAAACATAATATATTTAGTGTATATATTTTTCATATTGTACTGAATTATATAATTGCTGTCATCTTGAAATTTTGTATATTGTACTTATTTGGAGAGGATTATCTTAAGTTGTTATAACTTGTATCCAATCCTATTGTATAATTAGACAATAAAATATGTTTAAACTAAACTAGACAAAAACGGTGAATAAAAGAATTCAACTATATATATAACTAATATAGAACAATGGTGTTGATTAAAAAATAAAACCATTCCAGGCCCTTTTGTTTTCCAAATAATTGATATTACAAGTAAGTAATAAGTTCCAGGTCGACGGGTTCAAACAGAAAGAGTTTGAAAGTAGAGAAGACCGTGTATCTTATAAACAACATGACTTTATCAGATGACATACGAAGACTAAAAATCCAGGCTAAAAATAAGGCTTACATATAATTAGATGTCGCGGGTGTTTTCTAGTTTCAATAGAAACAGCAAAATTATGTTCTCGATGTTTTACTAACGAACGGTGCAGAATTATAACGAAATCACGCAACGACCATACAGAAAAAAAATTCGACGAACGGTACACAACGCACAACGTCCGGAATCAACCATACGTTGGTTATACCCGTGTTTATTCAAGTAAGCATCTACGACTAGCTTCCATTTCAAATTGTAAATATCATCAATATTAAAGTCATTACTGAAAAGTCTATTTTCAGTTATTGCATGTAGAATTATCATATAAAACAACAATGAAAATTCATCGCACCTCCAAAAATTCCACATCAGAGATGATTGCACTTACAGTGATAATTCATCGCATATATAGTTAAAATGAATCGCATTCATTAATCAATATTATGGATTTTGTTGCTTTGATTACACTTTTTGGGACTTTAGTCCTGTTATTATACATTAAAAAGTTACATTCTAATGAAATTGTGTTAAAAAATACTTTCAAATAATTTAATATGTATTTTCAAAATGTAAACAAACACAGTTTTTCCCGTCATCCTTTATTCTACAATAGACATACTCGCATACGACAGTGAACATGAACTAACTGGATTCGCACTTTATATACACTGAGTATTGTTTTATAGTTTGTCTCATTTGCACACAGAAACACGTTCGGCTGGTCATTTTGCACCGCAAAAATGAAAGGTACTTTCAGCTTACAAGTATTTAAGTCCAATTTTATATTTTATTCTTACTTCACGAATATTTTATGGTTATTTCTAACTTTATCATATATTGCCCCGTCTACAATTATAGTGTAAGGCATTATCTTTTCCTGTCTGTTTGTCCGTTTTTCTGGTATTATTTTCAAGTTTTGGTTTCAGATAGTTTACAATACCTCAAAGTTGTTGTCACATCAACTAGAAACGTAGTACGCATGTTCGTTATGATTGCAAACTTTTAAAATTACAAGCAAAATAACAATTTTTACCCTGATTTCCAGGTCCAATGACCAAGTTGTAAGTTTTAGGTAGTTGGATTTACATCAACTTGAATCTTAATACACATATTCATAACGTAGTTGACTCTTTGACATATGGACACAAATTTCTGGATCCACTAAACGTTGAAATATGATCGTGAGTGCGGAGCATGTGTTCTATTGACATATATTCCTGATAAGGTTTAACGATCTCCGAAAGGAATTTTTACATGCGCTAGGAAATTAAGGACAAGGAGTAAAAATGTAGATCTCCGATTTCGTTATAGTTTGTACTTGAGCTCATATGTAGTACAACTAAATCAGAGATCTATATTTTAGTTAGATTAATAACTTCAGTTCTTCATACGCGCCTTTATTCTACACAAAATTAAACAGTTGGACCTAAATCAAAACAGTTTTAAAAATGGCAAAATCTGAAAATTGAGCATTGATAATCCGGAAAAAACCCCAAAAAGTTCCATTTATCCTCTATATCCTCAATTACCTGTAGGATTCGACCATTTCTCCGTCGACGAAGGTTCTCCCACAATTAGCTTTACATTAATTCTTACAGAGACAACAGATTTGAAGTACTAGTGATTCTAGCATATGTAAATGCGGTCACCAAATATTAATTGAAATACAGAAATACAGAATCTCGCATTTGTTGCAAAAAATAATTTAAACATTAAGACTATTTGAACAACCAACCTGTTATTATTTTAGTTTATCACTGTACTTCTCTATAGCTGTGATAAAAAGTGGAACTAGGAGTAGCTTGTTTCCGCATGGTTCAATTATGACCATCATCACGTGCACTGATCAATATATAATCAACGATCGTAGTTTAAAGTTGGCGTTTATCATATACGAAACACCTGAATGAGAAGAAGAAAAAAAAGCAATCAAATTACGGAAGCATTCTATATACTAAGTGATTTAATCGTGTCAAATATAATATGTACAATATTTGAAATGAAATGAACCCTTGCAATTTATCAAAACACGAAGTATTTTATTTCTTATCTTCACTCTGTTTTTTAGGGACTTGTGTTACTCACCCGTTAGTTCAGTTTTAAAAGTGTAAATTTCATATTGTAGCATTTTATTGACTGTTGTTTGTTTGTTCAGAATTTTCTTTTTGACCAATCTGTCATTCGTCTTAATTCTACTTTACTTAAGTTTTCGATTATAACCTTTATAGTAAGTATCTGCTCCTTTCTTCTGGTCGATATTTTGATAATAAAACTTGCCAACTTCAATGATTTGATAGCGTTAAATACTTTCTGGACTCTAAATATAAATATCGTTAATTTCAAATTACAGTGAATGAAAGTCCGTGAACTTGGTTAGGAGAGTTGTTTCTGCTTTTGATCATCGACAGTATTCAACCCAGAACTGTAGGCTACAGACACTGGCTTTTAAAATTATGTACCGTGTACCGTCTATTATTTCCATATGTAACTGAACAGTTGTCCTTTTGGTATCTGCACTGTGCCGAATGTTCATTGTTTTTTTTTAACTTTTACCACATATGGTGTCTGAGAATGCAATGGGTGAGGCTATGCACACATAAACTCGTCAAACAGGTCGTTCAAGCTATATGCACCATGTCTGGTATTTTCACTGTTTCTAAGTCATGAGTAGACAAGTATTGTCTGTGTGTGTATTTACTTTTGAGGAGTAGGTAGTTGATAGGTGTGTTGTGTTGCGCTGTCAAATATATTATTGTTATTCCTTGTTGTGTTTCATTCAAACCACGCGATCTAGGATTTTGTTATTTGACAAATTTGACCTTTCTTTATGTCAATTTTGGTCACATATAAATGAAGCTCCTAACGTTTTGACGTATATTTTTATATCATTGACATTCAAATGTTTAGGTTAAATAGAGCGTTCCTGATAAAGGGATGTAAACAATTTAAGAGCTTCTGACGCAGTTTTTGTTTATGAGTTTATGTTATTTTCATATTGAAGTTTTTAGTTATTTATACCCGTCTTAATAAGTCTTCCCACTGGCATAGTAGCCACTTTCTAATTTGGTACACATGCTCCTTGATTATTAGGCACACGACTGACAGTTCAATCAGTTCTTGAACTAGGGATTAAAACTACTGTAGTTTGCTTACAAGGTGTGACTCTTTGGGGTCTAAGCGTGATGCAGGATTGGCTAATTTTTTGTAAGCATGACATGTAAAAGTCAAATTATTAAGCGCGAAAACGAGAAACGAAATCAGGCGGGACACGTGAAATTACAAGCGTTTGCATGACTAAGATAAGTGGATTACGGGAATCTGACAAAACAACAAGCGGGATCCTTTATCAACCCCTCCCCTTTTTCAAATAAACCCATAAAAGTACACAATGTACATGTAATGGAAGGCCGTACGATGTCCTATAATAGTTAATTTCTGTGTCATTTGGTCTCGTGTGAAGAATTGTCTCATTGGCAATCATACCACATTTTTTTTTATATATCAATACCATGAGAGTTGTAAAACATTGCTGAAATAATCTCAAGGAATTAAAAGTTATGCCGACTGGTCACGCACGTAGTAATAATGGTGACAGGTACCGATTATCTGGTTGTCTGCATATTTATATTATAAAATATTAGCTGCTCGACACAACATGAAGCCTTTTTGAACGTGTTCGCTTCACTCACTCGACAAAAAGCTCGAAAAATATTCAAATGCTCACCAAACGCTTTCAGGCTTACCATCTAGTCAAGTTCATTGAAAACCACCAGTTAGTTGATAGCTAATGAGACATCTCTCCACAATAGACTAGAGACCAAATGACACAGACATTACATTACTTTTAAATGTATCCAAGTAGGAACTGTGATACAACTGCGACCACACTTACGATTTCATTAGTAAGTAAAGTCAGTTTATAAGAAGTTGCATCTGAATTATCGTAAGTTTGGTTTGAATTTTATCGAGTATGTCAAGAGCCTTGTCATAATATTTCAACAACCCGCGTATCAATTAGAGGTGTCCATCTAGTTTCTGCTACCGTTTTCAATGGTTAAACAGACCTTCTTCTAGATCATACATCAAATCAAGTCAGTCAACGGCGGCTTGGCCTTCTTTTATCATTACAAGTTTCATGATATTTTTATGCTTACTCGAAGCACTGATGAACCATTTAATTTTTTCTATAAATGTATAATTGTATTAAATACAGCAGATTGACAACTGTTACCAACGACTAGATTTGTACAGTGAATAGAATAGAAATATCAAACTTTAATGGAAAAATAAGGCCAACCCGACGTTGAAATTGATTTGGCGTATGACCAAAAAAAGGTCTATTCAAAAGTTAAACCATAATAAAAGGTTACTGCCAACGATAACAGAAACTAGATGGACATCACGAAATGATACATTACCTGGTTGTTAAAATACTATGACAAGGTTCTGGACATACTCGATGAAATCCAAAACCAAGTTGTCGTGTACCACAGTTCCTTCTAGGATACTTTAAAAGACCTTTGTCAACAGAACTTCAGTCTAAAAACTGTTCTTTCGTTGAAGCACACGTACAATCAAGTACACTAGCTAGTTTTTTTTCGAATTACGCAACATAAATCGAATGCAGCAGCTGAAAACGTATAACAGCATTTCTGGATAACCATTTTTATCCCACTTGTTGATCATATCACCAAACACCAAAATGACAGATTTCCAGACGACATTAAGCCAATATTTTATAGATTCTTCCTACTTCCATGGTATTTCTGAAATTTAACAGACGACATTCTAGACATCATTGTTGATAAATAATAAAATGACATCCCTGGTGACTACTCCAAGAGGTTCACAGGTTGAAAACTCTGAACACTTTAAAGGACATGAGACCAAGTTGTACCATAGAACAAGCGTTTACACATACGCAGTTCTACCAAAAGATAAGACAAATACTGTTGCTTCTGTAAGCATTGTCTTTCTGATCTTTCAGTTGTGAGCGATCGTTTCTGCACTGAGGCGACTAAAAATATGGCACAATCAACCGAAGGTAGACTGTGTGGTCTAGCTATGCTATATCAACCTAGAAATGACGATATTGGTCAGACCATAGAATATAATAGCCAGATATAATAGCCATATCTATGGCTATCATGTGGCTATTATATCTATGGTCAGACTGAATGTGTGGGAATTTTGAATAGTTGGGACTCATCAGGTCACAGAATAGTAAAAAGCCTTTGACAAATTATAATTAAAAACTACCATGCAATGATCATAATTAATTCATCAAATTTTTAAATGTGAATTTGAGATGAATATAAAATAATAATACAAATTATGTTGTGTATTTTTACTTTTTAAGTTAGAAAATGTTTCTTTGAAACCAAGTCAAAATATCTCAGTAATAATCTCCAAAAACGAGATAAATAATGAAAAAATTGCTAAGCTATTAACAAGACCCCCGCCTATAATCTACTGCCTGCTCTTAAACAATGTTTTAAAGACCAATTGACGGTCAACCTTTTGGATAAGTTTTCTTATAATTTACCATTAAAGTATTTTAAAAGACGTTACCTTGAATATATCATGTATGTACGTATTCCAATCTCTCTACATCAAATGAGTAACATACAATCAACTTGAGATTAGGAAATCCCACTTTCTAATTTTAGATAATATATGTTCTATTTTAAAAACAAAAATTACCGGCTATGATATAAATACGATATACAAGATTAATTTAAATAGAAACAGATATTCCAGTTTACAAACTGAAACGTGAAAGAATAACAGAAATTATTATGTGATAAGATATTCTATAATAATTAAATAAATTACATAGGCGGATCCAAAAGAGGGCTGGGGTGCCCAGCCCCCCCCCCCCCCCCCGTTTTGTGGAGAAAAAAATTGGTTGCTTATATAGGGAATAACTGAAGCTGCTCTTTTCAAATTACATTGTATGAAACTCCGTAAAACTGGTTAGGAGAGTTGATTCTGTTTTTGATCATCGACAGTATTCAACCGAGGGCTGACGAACCTAGCTTTCGAAATTATGTACCGTCTTTTATTTCCATATGTAGCTAAGCTGTTGTCTTTTAGGTATCTGCACTGTGCAGGATTTTACTTTTACCACATATGGTCTAATAATGCAATGGGGGAGGTTATGCACACGTACAACTCGTTAATCAGTTCATTCGTCATTCAAGCTATCAACACCATGTCCGTTATTTTCACTCTTTCTATAAGTCATGAGTTGTCAATTATTGTTTGCGTGTGTATTTACTTTGGAGGAGTCGGTTGTTGATTGGTGTGGTCCGTAAAATATATTTTTGTAATTCCTTGTTGTGTATCATTCAAGCCACTTGATCTCGGATTTTGTAATTTGTAGCAAATTCACGGTCTTGCATGCCGTTTTTTTTTTTTTTTTTACATCTTTTAAATTAATTTGGCGCACGGATTCTAGTGTGCTAAGTGTTTAAGTATCTTTAATTTATTCATCTGAAACTATAAGGCTTTAACTCTGAGGCAAAGTTGACCTTGCTTTATGTCAACTTTGGTCATATAAATGAAGCTCCTAACGTTTCTACGTATTTGTATATATATCCCTGGCTTTCAAATGTTTAGGTAAGAGCGTTCCTGACAAAGGAAAGTAAAAAGAAAAGTTTCGGATGCACGAAATATATAAAATACTATTTGTCATATTGTGTCTTTAATTGTTTTATATCCGTCTCAACAACTCCACCCACTGACACAGTAGCAACTTTCCCACTTGATTAACATGCTCCTTGATTATAAGGCACGTGACTGACAGTTCAATCAGTTCGCGAACTAGCGATCAAAGACTTTGCTTACTACTATATATAGTTGAAGGCTCAATACCATGAAAATCGTGACAATTTACTGAAAAACAATCTCAAGGAATCCAAAAGACTACAAAACAAATGAGCTAAACATGCTCTTGCAGGAATTGAATGGTTGTCGTTGTTTGCTGTATTTCATATTTGCTTTCCGTTAATTGTTTTGTATATAAATCAGGCGATTTTTCTTGTTTGAACTTTTTTTACATTTGTCATGTCGGGACCTTTCATAGTTTGCTATGCGGTATGGGTTTTGCTCATTGTTGAATGCCGTACAGTGACCTATTTTAAAAATAACATGTCATTTGATCTCTGATGGCAGTTTTTTTTTTGGCTTCTATGAAAATGAATTATTCTATAATTGTCTGCAGCCTGATAATAACGAGTTGTAGCATGCAAGCGATAATCATTTGTTACATTCGCCGTGCAACCACTTCATATAAAAATAAGAAGATGTGGTATGATTGCCAATGAGACAAATCTCCACAAGAGACCAGAGACCAAATGACACAGAAATTAACAACTATAGGTCACCGCACATCCTTCAACAATGAGTAAAACCATACCGCATAGTCAGCTATTAAAGACTACCGAAAGATAAATGTAAAACAATTCAAACGAAAAAACTAACGGCCTGATTTATATACAAAATATTAAACGAAAAACAAATGTGATATACAGCAACACACGACAACCTCTGATTTACAGGCTCTTTATCATGTTTGCAAACAGTTTAACTTTTTCAACACTCATTGTACAAGGAAATGTGTTTGTAAAAGTTTTCTTGGCTTCTATGTAAGTGAATGGTTTTATATTTGGTATGCAGCTTGATAAAACTGAGTTGTAGTGTGGAAGTAATTTTTAATTAAGAATTGAATGCTTCTTTTTGTAAATTCATTGGGGTGTAAAAGCGTTGACCGAAGTACATTTTGGATGAAGCGCGGAAGCGCTTCATTCTAAAAATGTGCGCACGGTCAACGCTTTTGCAACCCTATGAAATTACAAAAAGAAGCATTCAATACTTATAATTACATTTTTTTTAGCTAGGATCATGAAAACACGATTTCTATCAAGTTTTTATTTAATTTACCTGTGCACTTTATTGTGGGACCTAGAGTCATCATGAATGTTAAATTTCATTGTGTAATGAATGTCGATTTCAGAAAGACGCGAGATTGCTGTTAGCCAATCAAAAAATGCCGATAGATTGAAATTTTACAACACTCATTGTACAACAAAATTTTCTTCAAAGTTTCTTAGCTTCAATGATTTTAGGGAATGTTTAGTTGTGCTTCAGTATATATATTACCTTAATCAATTGCATGCAGCGAAGCAGGTCCAGACATGGTATTGGTATTGTTAGACGGTGATGTTCATTTGGTCCCTTCTTAGTACGATAAGTCTATTTCCTAACTCGTTCGCTATGCTCGTCTCTGTAATGACATTTTAGATTTGAATGAACTTAATCCATGTATAGAATTTAATCTACTAGTTTTATTCACCAAACGAGGGCCCAAAGAGGGCGGCCTAGAACACATAAATAACTGATAGATCAATTAATTGTTGGTGTTTAGCGCCACTTTCAGTTCTATTGACTATATCGTGGTGTTCAGTTTGTATTGCTTGAAGAACTCGGAGTATCCGGAGAGAACCACCAAGCTTCGACAGGAAAACTGACAATCCTATTTACTTGCAGGGTTCGGACGACATACTATTATGAACAGATATATCATGTTATGGAGGGGTATTTACGAAAAATACCAGTCAAGGGACTGGAAAATTTCCCAAGCCGCTGTTTAATTACACCGAATAGATTTTGATTGAAAATGTCTGTAAAAGTGAATGGAAATCGTAGTACCGTGGGAAGTATACATGTACTTATATACGCGTTTGTGCTTCTTTTTTTTTGTAAAGTCATGGTATCTATGTATATAAACGTCATTGTTTTTCCATCATTAAATCGTTCATTTGTATAGACGTCTTTTTTCACTTTATATGTATATAACTGACATTTTTGTTTGCAGTTTTCGGTTTAACCAACTCAATCACTAGTGCTTAACCTAAGTTGGTCCCCTCCGTAAAATATCTAGTATGCCTTTGGAATATACAAATATTAATGTCAAGAATTTCAATAACGGCCGGGAAACAGACTATGCTTAACCATGTTGTCTAAATAATCGGGATATATTAAGAAAGGTTCCATATAATTTTAGCGTGGAAGAGGCTCGCGAGGGTAAAAAAAGAATATCCAAAATGGCAAATACCACGGCAGATATGGGAATTTGAGGCAAATTCACCGGCAGTGGTGAAAAACAGGTAAATTCGTTTGAAATGAGGAAAAATTGTTAGAATATGCGAAAAATATACTGGCTAACAACCAACCAAAATCCGGCATTCTTAAAGAAGGTGTAATCATAAAATAAATATTATATTGACATTGAACCAACTGTACCAGAAAAGCGTTGTGTGACATTAAGTATTTACAGAAGGCATATATAATATATTAATTTGATGAATTAAAGTGAAGTTTCTACAAAATACTATTGAAAGCAAACATATCAGTACAACATGATGGAATATATGTCAATTTGTTCTTATTGGCGACAGTACATGCTCTGTTGAGCAGGCCATTAAATGCTTCATCTGCATTTTCAGGTATTTCTAAAAAAGATGTAGCTAGTGCGATAGCTCGATGGTGCACTTCAACGAAAGATCATAGATTTCAGACTGTAGTTCTGTGGACAAAGGTCTTCTTTTAAATGTATCCAAGTAGGAACTGCATGTGATACAACTGCGACCACAATTACAATTTCATTAGTAAGTAAAGTCAGTTTTATAAGAAGTTGCATCTGAGTTATCGTAAGTTTGGTTTGAATTTTATCGAGTATGTCAAGAGCCTTGTCATAATATTTCAACAACCCGCGTATCAATTAGAGATGTCCATCTAGTTTCTGCTTCCGTTTTCAATGGTTAAATAGACATTCTTCTAGATCATACATCAAATCAAGTCAGTCAACGGCGGCTTGGCCTTCTTTTTTCATTACAAGTTTCATGATATTTTTTACTTACTCGAAGCACTGATGAACCATTTATTTTTTTCTATAAATGTATAATTGTAATAAATATAGCAGACTGACAACTGTTTCCAACGACTAGATTTGTACAGTGAATAGAATAGAAATATCAAACTTTAATGGAAAATGAAGGCCAACCCGACGTTGAAGTTGATTTGACGTATGAACAAAAAAGGTCTATTCAAAAGTTAAACCATAATAAAAGGTTACTGCCAACGATAACAGAAACTAGATGGACATCATGAAATGATACATTACCTGGTTGTTAAAATACTATGACAAGGTTCTGGACATACTCGATGAAATCCAAAACCAAGCTGTCGTGTCCCACAGTTCCTTCTAGGATACTTTAAAAGACCTTTGTCGACAGAACTTCAGTCTAAAAACTGTTCTTTCGTTGAAGCACACGTACAATCAAGTACACTAGCTAGTTTTTTTTCGAAATACGCAGCATAAATCGAATGCAGCAGCTGAAAACGTATAACAGCATTTCTGGATAACCATTTTTATCCAACTTGTTGATCATATCACCAAACATCTAAAATGACAGATTTCCAGACGACATTAAGCCAATATTTCATAGATTCTGCTTACTTCCATGGTATTTTCGAAATTTAACAGACGACATTCTAGACATCATTGTTGATAAATATTAAAATGACATCCCTGGTGACTACTCAAAGAGGTTCACAGGTTGAAAACTCTGAACACTTTAAAGGACATGAGACCAAGTTGTACCATAGAACAAGCGATTACACATACGCAGTTCTACCAAAAGATAAGACAAATACTGTTGCTACTGTAAGCATTGTCTTTCTGATCTTTCAGTTGTGAGCGATCGTTTCTGCACTGAGGCAACTAAAAATATGACACAATCAACCGAAGGTAGACTGTGTGGTCTAGCTATGCTATATAAACCTAGAAATGACGATGTTTGTCAGACCATAGAATATAATAGCCAGATATAATATCCATATCTATGGCTATCATGTGGCTATTATATCTATGGTCAGACTGAATGTGTGGGAATTTTGAATCGTTGGAACTCATCAGGTCACAGAAAAGTAAAAATAGCCTTTGACAAATTATAATTAAAAACTACCATGCAATGATCATAATTAATTCATCAAATTTTTAAATGTGAATTTGAAATGAATATAAAATAATACTACCAATTATGTTGTGTATTTTTACTTTTTAAGTTAGAAAATGTTTCTTTGAAACCAAGTCAAAATATCTCAGTAAAAATCTCCAAAAAACGAGATAAATAATGAAAAAAATTGCTAAGCTTTTAACAAGACCCCCGCCTAATCTACTGCCTGCTCTTAAACAATGTTTTAAAGACCAATTGACGGTCAACCTTTTAGATACGTTTTCTTATAATTTACCATTAAAGTATTTTAAAAGACGTTACCTTGAATATATCATGTAAGTATTGCAGTCTCTCTACATCAAATGAGTAGCATACAATCAAGATTAGGAAATCCCACTTTCTAATTTTAGATAATATATGTTCTATTTAAAAAACAAAAATTACCGGCTTTGATATAAATACGATATACAAGATTAATTTAAATAGAAACAGATATTCCAGTTTACAAACTGAAACTAGAAATACCTGGGAAATAATAACTGAAATTATTATGTGATAATATATTCTATAATTAAATAAATTACATAGGCGGATCCAAAAGGGGGCTGGGTGCCCACCCCCCCCCCCCCACTCCGTTTTGTGGAAAAAAATTGCTTGCTTATATAGGGAATCACTGAAGCTGCTCTTTTCAAATTACATTGTATGAAACTCCGTAAAACTGGTTAGGAGAGTTGTTTCTGTTTTTGATCATCGACAGTATTCAACCGAGGGCTGTGACTGCAGAACCTAGCTTTCGAAATTATGTACCGTCTTTTATTCCCATATGTAGCTAAGCGGTTGTCTTTTAGGTATCTGCACTGTGCAGGATTTTACTTTTACCACATATGGTCTAATAATGCAATGGGGGAGGTTATGCACACGTACAACTCGTTAATCAGGTCATTCGTCATTGATCTCGGATTTTGTTATTTGTAGCAAATTCACGGTCTTGCATGCTGTATTTTTTTTTTATATCTTTTAAATTAATTTGGCGCACGGATTCTAGCGTGCTAAGTGTTTAAGTATCTTTAATTTATTCATCTGAAACTATAAGACTTTCAGTCTGAGGCAAAGTTAACCTTGCTTTTATGTCAACTTTGGTCATATAAATGAAACTCGTTTCTATGTACTTGTATATATATCCCTGGCTTTCAAATGTTTAGGTAAGAGCGTTCCTGACAAAGGAAAGTAGAAAGAAGAGTTTCGGATGCACGAAATATATAAAATACTATTTGTCATATTGAAGCTTTAATTGTTTTATATCCGTCTCAACAACTCCACCCACTGACACAGTAGCAACTTTCCCACTTGATTAACATGCTCCTTGATTATAAGGCACGTGACTGACCGTTCAATCAGTTTGCGAACTAGGGATCAAAGACTTTGCTTACTAGTATATGTAGTTGAAGGCTTAATACCATGAAAATCGTGACAATTTACTGAAAAACAATCTCAAGGAATTCAAAAGTCTACAAAACAAATGGGCTAAATTTAACATGCTCTTGCAGGAATTCAATGGTTGTCGTTGGTTGCTGTATTTCATATTTGCTTTCCGTTAATTGTTGTGTATATAAATCAGGCGATTTTTCTTGTTTGAACTTTTTTACATTTGTCATGTCGGGACCTTTCATAGTTTGCTATGCGGTATGGGTTTTGCTCATTGTTTAATGCCGTACGGTGACCTATTTTAAAAATAAAATGTAATTTGATCTCTGATTGCAGTTTTTTTGGCTTCTATGAAAGTGAATTATTCTATAATTGTCTGCAGCCTGATAATAACGAGTTGTAACATGTAAGCGATAATCATTTGTTACATTCGCCGTGCAACCACTTCATATAAAAATAAGAAGATGTGGTATGATTGCCAATGAGACAAATCTCCACAAGAGACCAAATGACACAGAAATTAACAACTATAGGTCACCGCACATCCTTCAACAATGAGTAAAACCCATACCGCATAGTCAGCTATAAAAGGCTATAAATGTAAAACAATTCAAACGAAAAAACTAACGGCCTGATTTATATACAAAATAATGAACGAATAAAATGCTTCGCCGAGCGCAGCCTGATACGACCGCAGAGGTTGAACCCTGAACAGTTGGGGCAAATTTGGACACAATATTCAAGCTTGATACTGTCTGAATTTGGATTGTGATCACATTTTTGACATAGTATATGTTTCTGACACAAAATAAATGTGGTCAAAGATCTTACGAATCTATTGAGCAATGAAACTTTTCAAAAATTTGAAATTTGAAAAATTTTGAAAAAAAATATGAACCCCTTAAAATAGTGGAAAAAAATTCCCCCCCCCCCCCATCTTTTTGAATCCCTTCTTAGAGCAATTACCCCCAAACTCAATCCCAGCCTTTCCTTTGTAGTATGGAACCTTGTAGTACAATTTCAGAGAGATCCATTCACTTAAACACAAGTTGTTGTCTGGAAACTAGAAAAATGTTTGTTTTTGGCCCTTTATTCCTCCATGTTTGGAGCAATTACCCCCAAACTCAATCCCAGACTTCCCTTTGTAATATGGAACCTTGTGGTGCAATGTCAGAGAGATCCATACACTCACATACAAGGTATTGTTTTTGGCCCCTTTTTGGCCCTTAATTCCTAAACTGTTGGCACCATAACCCCCAAAATGAATCCCAACCTTCTACTTGTGGTACTAAACATTGTGGTACAATGTTAGAGCAATCAAAATACTTATAACCAAGTTATTATCCTGAAACTAGTAAAATGCTTGTTTTGGGCCCCTTTTGGGCCCCTAATTCCAAATCGGTTGGGACCATCATCCCCAAAATCAAACCCAACCTTCCTTTTGTGGCATTGAACCATCTTAAAAAATTTCATAGAGATCCATTCACTTAAACTAAAGTTATTGTCCGCAAACCAAATGTGTCTTCGGACGACGACGCAGACGCAGACGACGACGCAGACGACGACGACATCATATACCATTATACGATCCCCAAAATTTTTTTGCGGTCGTATAAAAACAAATATGATATACAGCAACAAACGACAACCTCTGAATTACAGGCTCTTTATCATGTTTGCAAACAGTTTGATTTTTTCAACGCTCATTGTACAAGGAAATATGTTTGTATAATTTTTCTTGGCTTCTATGTAAGTGAATTGTTTTATATTTTGTATGCAGCTTGATGAAGTTGAGTTGTAGTGTGGAAGCATTTTCAATCAGCCGTGCAGGGAATTACGCACGGTATGCCGATAAATTTTACAACACTCATTGTACAACGAAAATTTTCTTCAAAGTTTCTTAGCTTCAATCATTTTAGGGAATGTTTAGTTGTGCTTCAGTATATATATTACCTTAATCAATTGCATGCAGCGAAGCAGGTCCAGACATGGTATTGGTATTGTTAGACGGTGATGTTCATTTGGTCCCTTCTTAGTACGATAAGTCTATTTCCTAACTCGTTCGCTATGCTCGTCTCTGTAATGACATTTTAGATTTGAATGAACTTAGTCCATGTATAGAATTTAACCTACTAGTTTTATTTACCAAACGAGGGCCCAAAGAGGGCGGCCTAGAACACATAAATAACTGACCGATCAATTAATTGTTGGTGTTTAACGCCACTTTCAGTTCTATTGACTATATCGTGGTGTTCAGTTTGTATTGCTTGAAGAACTCGGAGTATCCGAAGAGAACCACCAAGCTTCGACAGGAAAACTGACAATCCTATTTACTTGCAGGGTTCGGACGACATACTATTATGAACAGATATATCATGTTATGGAGGGGTATTTGCGAAAAATACCAGTCAAGAGACTGTGAAATTTCCCAAGCCGCTGTTTAATTACACCGAATAGATTTTGATTGAAACTGTCTGTACAAGTGAATGGAAATCGTAGTACCGTGGGAATTACACATGTACTTATATATACGCGTTGGTGTTATCTTTTTGTAACGTCATGGTCTCTTACGTGACGGTACCCAAATTGCACCTATTTTGACAGTTTTTTCACTTACGTTTATTTATGATCCAGGCAAAAGTTTCCATTCTGTGTTTATTTTGTAGATGTGTCATTATTTACTATAAACTCATCATATACAGTCCGCCAAAAGTTAAGCACCACCTATTTTTATTGCATCGAAATTTTTTTCATTTAAAAAAATCAGTCAATCCTCGAAAAAGAGAAAATGTTCATGTAGCAATTTTGCTAACATATACCATAAACAAACCATAGACTTAAGTTTGTTCACGTATGCAGGTTCTATGCATTTAAAATTTGCGTTCATAGAAATAGTGAAAATTACACAAATCAGAAATGGAATTTAAGTTTCACTGTGATTTTATTTTTTTACAACAATTAATTACCCAATATCATTAAAAGTCTCTACAAATAATCTTTGGTATGTTCGGCAAATTTAATGTCAATATTTGAGTCAATAGGATGTGTAACACCCTCTCTTCCGGTACAGATCCATAACAAGGAGTCTCAAACTCTGTACAAGCCTTCTGAACTTTAGTTGAGCAAATTTATTCCATTCAGCAACAATTGCGCTTCTTAAATCGCTAAGATTTTGCAAAGGTGGATCTCTGTGATTGAGATTTCTTCCAATGGCATCCCAGACATGTTCGATAGGGTTCATGTCTGAAGACACGGAAGGCCAAAAGATAGTGTCAATGGCTTCTTGCTCTTTGTACTCTTTGTACTCGGTTACAATCCTTGCCCTGTGTGGTCTAGCATTGTCGTACATGCGCAAGGGTCTTGAAGCAAGTGGAGGATTATCAAAATGAGGGACTACAATGTTTCTAAGCACCAAATCCCTGTATGTCTGTCCGTTCATGTTACCCTGCAGAATATGCATACCCACCTTACAACAGTATGAGAAGAAATCCCATACTGTAACACCACCAGCAACGTATGCAGTCGTTGGGCAAATGTTGTTTTGGTCATTTCCACGACAAACTCGTATTCTGCCGTCTATTGGTCGTAACAGAAACTGACTCTCATTTGACCAATGAACATTTTGCCAGCTTCTCATGTTCCAGCGTCGATGGTCATTAGCACTTTAAAACCTGATTATACGGTGCCTGGCTGTTAGGGCAGGTCTCTTGACAACACGACGTACTCTTAGGTAGCCTCTATGAAGTCGACGGACCAATATTCAAACACTAACATGACCACCTTGATGCCAGTGGTGTCTAAGTTGTGGGGCAGGAGTAAATGGGTTGGCTTTAGCACAACCAATAATGAGTCTGTCATCACGATCGGTAGTTAAACGGGGTCTTCCGGACCTTGGTCTATCATTTACAGTTCCTGTGTCAACATGACGTTGTAAAAATCTGACAATGCCGGTGTGTTTAACATTGAAATGGTTACCTATGCAACTAGTGCTCCTACCGGCATTTGACATGTCAATTGCTTGTCATGGTTTAGTCACATATAACTTACCCCTTGCCATATTTCACAGTAACTTGGTGAAGGTCAAATTTCACCTGTACGCGGGACAGTAGGAAGATGATTTAAAGGCATCGAAACAGTGTATTCGAAAAAGTGCAGATGACCTTTAATAAAAAATTGCCTGTCGTGTTTATCGGAGTTTATTTTTTTTGTCGTAATAAATTTTCTTAGTGTATGTTATAGGCAATTCATAACACCAAACATAAATATTGTTTTCGCAATAGTTAAAAAAATATTGCCAGTTATATTTAGGTGGTGCTTAACTTTTGGCGGACTGTATAGATACCAGGATTGAATTTTGTGTTTACGCCAGACGCGCGTTTCGTCTACAAAAGACTCATCAGTGACGCTCGAATCTATATGGTTCCACCAATATAATTTTGTATCTATATTGAATCCCAAATTGCAACCATGCTTAAATTCACATCCTTAAAAATCGAATAACAGATGTTTTGTTTTATTTCTTCAAATATTTAGAACAATTTGACATTAGTCCATGCTTACTTTTCATTTTTGAAGAAATGGATGCTTGTAACATATTTAAATTGCTCATTTTTTAAAGATGACATGCGACGTTTTCGTAGATTTACTCTTTCCAGTGAATGCTTAATCTGTTGATATGTACTGTGAACGTTTTGTGTATATTTAGATATATCTAATTTGTTGAAAGGCGTATATAGCTAAATGTCAAATCATAAAAATACAAATTATTTAGTCTCAAACAAAACTTGTAAGATTTCCGCAGCGATTTTTGTTTAATAGGTGCAATTTGGGTACTCGGCGCAATTTGGGTACTGTGACGTTATGTATAAACGTCATTGTTTTCCCATCATTAAATCGTTCATTTGTATAGACGTCTTTTTTTCACTTTATAAGTATATAACTAACATTTTTGTTTACAATTTACAGTTTTCGGTTTAACGCAATCACTAGTGCTTAACCTAGGTTGGTCCCCTACGAAAAATATCCAGTATGCCTTCGGAATATATAAATATTAATGTCAAGAATTTCAATAACGGCCGGGAAACAGACTATGCTTAAGGATGTTCGCTACTCTTGTTTTTCACTTTTTGTCAGATATCCTGAATCCTCTAGTTTTATCCATGTAGTGCCAATAAAAGTTTTGCCCACTGATCCTTACTTTTCTTTTCAGAATTTTATTGCATATAGTTTTAAAAGTAATTTTTGAAAATTTTATAAAATCCTTGTTATTTTTTCATAGTTTTTGAAAGGAAAAGTGTCAATGTTAAATGTATAAAAATCTAGAGAGAACTATTTCCCGCCAAATTTTCTATTGATTATATCTCGAAAACCAGAACACAGACCTAGTAATTTTTTTCTAATTTTTAAGTTTCCTTATTCATATTCTATCAATCTATAACAGTCTTTTAAAAACCTTGTTATTTTGAAACAGGGGAGCGAACATCCTTAACCATGTTGTCTTAATAATCGGGATAAATTAAGAAAGGTTCCGAATAATTTTGACGGGAAGAGGCTCGCGAGAGTAAAAAAGGAATATCCAAAATGGCAAATACCACGGCAGAGAGGGAATTTGAGGCAAATTCACCGGCAGTGGTGAAAAACAGGCAAATTCGTTTGAAATGAGGAAAAATTGTTAGAATATGCGAAAAATATACTGGCACTAACAACCAATCAAAATCCGGCATTCTTATATAAGGCGTAATCATAAAATAAATATTATGTTGACATTGAACCAACTGTACCAGAAAAGCGTTTTGTGACATTAAGTATTTACAGAAGGCATATGATTTTAATTTGATGAGTTAAAGTGAAGTTTCTACAAAATACTATTGAAAGTAAACATATCAGTACAACATGATGGAATATATGTCAATTTGTTCTTTTTGGCGACAGTACATGCTTTGTTGAGCAGGCCATTAAATGCTTCATCTGCATTTTCAGGTATTTCTAAAAAAAAAGATGTAGCTAGTGCGATAGCTCGAACGTGCACTTCAACGAATGATTACAAATTTCAGACTGTAGTTCTGTGGACAAAGGTCTTCTTTTAAATGTACCCAAGTAGGAACTGTGATACAACTGCGACCACACTTACGATTTAATTAGTAAGTACAGTCAGTTTATAAGAAGTTGCATCTGAGTTATCGTAAGTTTGGTTTGAATTTTAGCGAGTATGTCAAGAGCCTTGTCATAATATTTCAACAACCCGCGTATCAATTAGAGATGTCCATCCAGTTTCTGCTACCGGTTTCAATGGTTAAATAGACATTCTTCTAGATCATACATCAAATCAAGTCAGTCAACGGCGGCTTGGCCTTCTTTTTTCATTACAAGTTTCATGAAATTTTTTTGCTTACTCGAAGCACTGATGAACCATTTATTTTTTTCTATAAATGTATAATTGTAATAAATACAGCAGACTGACAACTGTTACAACGACTAGATTTGTACAGTGAATAGAATAGAAATATCAAACTTTAATGGAAAAAGAAGGTCAACCCGACGTTGACATTGATTTGACGTATGACCAAAAAAAGGTCTATTCAAAAGTTAAACCATAATAAAAGGTTACTGCCAACGATAACAGAAACTAGATGGACATCACGAAATGATACATTACCTGGTTGTTAAAATACTATGACAAGGTTCTGGACATACTCGATGAAATCCAAAACCAAGCTGTCGTGTCCCACAGTTCCTTCTAGGATACTTTAAAAGACCTTTGTCGACAGAACTTCAGCCTAAAAACTGTTCTTTCGTTGAAGCACACGTACAATCAAGTACACTAGCAAGTTTTTTTTTCGAAATACGCAGCATAAATCGAATGCAGCAGCTGAAAACGTATAACAGCATTTCTGGATAACCATTTTTATCCCACTTGTTGATCATATCGGCAAACACCTAAATGACAGTTTTCCAGACGACAATAAGCCAATATTTTATAGATTCTTCTTACTTCCATGGTATTTCCGAAATTTAACAGACGACATTCTAGACATCATTGTTGATAAATATTAAAATGACATCCCTTGTGACTACTCCAAGAGGTTCACAGGTTGAAAACTCTGAACACTTTAAAGGACATGAGACCAAGTTGTACCACAGAACAAGCGATTACACATACGCAGTTCTACCAAAAGATAAGACAAATACTGTTGCTTCTGTAAGCATTGTCTTTCTGATCTTTCAGTTGTGAGCGATCGTTTGTGCACTGAGGCGACTACAAATATGGCACAATCAACAGAAGGTACATGTAGACTGTGTGGTCTAGCTATGCTATATAAACCTAGAAATGACAATGTAATAGCCATATCTATGGCTATCATGTGGCTATTATATCTATGGTCAGACTGAATGTGTGGGAATTTTGAATCGTTGGGACTCATCAGGTCACAGAAAAGTAAAACTAGCCTTTGACAAATTATAACGAAAAACTACCAACATGACCAATGATCATAATTAATTCATCAAATTTTTAAATGTGAATCTGAAATGAATATAAAATAATACTACCAATTATGTTGTGTATTTTTACTTTTTAAGTTAGAAAATGTTTCTTTGAAACCAAGTCAAAATATCTCCGTAAAAATCTCCAAAAACGAGATAAATAATGAAAAAATTGCTAAGCTTTTAACAAGACCCCGCCTAATCTACTGCCTGCTCTTAAACAATGTTTTAAAGACCAATTGACGGTCAACCTTTTAGATACGTTTTCAAGCTTATAATTTACCATTAAAGTATTTTAAAAGACGTTACCTTGAATATATCATGTAAGTATTGCAGTCTTTCTACATCAAAAGAGTAGCATACAATCAAGATTAGGAAATCCCACTTTCTAATTTTAGATAATATATGTTCTATTTTAAAAACAAAAATTACCGGCTTTGATATAAATACGATATACAAGATTAATTTAAATAGAAACAGATATTCCAGTTTACAAACTCAAACTAGAAATAATAACAGAAATTATTATGTGATAACATATTCTATAATAAAATAAATAACATAGGCGGATCCAACCAGCCCCCCCCCCCTCCACCGTTTTGTGGAAAACATTTGGTTGCTTATATAGGGAATCACATGAGCGGACCCCCCTTTAGGTCAGTAAATGTCCCCCCTCCCTCTTATATAAAGTTCTGTTTCCACCACTGAATAATCTTTTATCTTAATATATCTAGCTCATATCGACATCAAATCAAATCAAATAATTGTATTTCCTAATTAAAGGGCCTCTATGGGCGCAACAATTACAAACAAGAAAACAGTAAAAAGACAAACATGTATATGTCGTGTACATTTTGTACAAGTAATTACTTGCATGGTGCCATCATACAAATTATAATTGTACAAATCATACAAGTTATAATTGTACAAATGCATTTTTTATTGGAAAAAGATAATAACTTGTACAAATATTATTCTACCCTGACCTATTTAAATCAATTATTCTATATTTTGAAGAGAATTTTTTTTTTCAAAATATAAATGAAACACTTTCAAAATATGATAAAAAAATTAAAATAACAAACCAAAAAAATTTCTAAAAAACATTTAACAAAATATTTACAGATTGACAATACATTGATGAAAAGTCGACCTACACTATCTATATACATATATTTTTGATATTTTGTACCAGAAAAGCTCAACAGGAAGTGCCAGTAAAAGAAATTTCTCGCTTAACCATTTGGTTCAGATTTGATAGTTTACCTGACGTGACAGCGTTTTTGGATAGAGCTGGTGCGATTTTTTAAAATTTGCATTATTTGTGTAAAAGAAATGCACTACGAAATAACTGTGTGATTTTCTAGGGCCAAATGATAGAAATGTCATAGAAACCGAAGTTTTTTAAGTAAATGTTTAAAATGTCGACCCCATTTATCTTTAAATTTAGCACATAATGGTATATCTTTTATTATATATTCGATTGGCAGTTGCGTAGCAAGGCATTTTATATAAAAATTTATGTTGTCTTTCTTTAGTTTTATGTACTGTTGTCTGTCTTTTATTAGTTTTTCGTCTTTTGTCATAACATGGTCAGTTTTTCTTCAACTGATTAGTTTGAATAACCCTTTGGTATCTTTATCTTTTAAATTTAGATTTAGGACTTTTTTCATGTTGATTTCATTGTGTTGATTTGTAATCTAAATGATCCTTTGTTTAAAAGAAAAATGTTCAAACCAGTTACTTTAGAATTGTTGGGTAAACAAATCTATCAACAAATAATCGAAACTTTATAAAAATAGTAAAAAAAAAGCAAGCTATATTAATCATTTTAACTTCATATAATTTTCACACCTTTTTACGGGAAAATTTCGTTAATGAACGCAGAGACATATAAATACATTTAGTATATCTATGTCTCTGATGAACGCATGAAATAATAAATTTTCATAAATGGTCAGGATAACATAAAAATCATATGATGACAAGAAAAGGTATTTTATTCCAGCAGATACTAAATTGCTTTATCTTCAATTACGAGTCAACAATAACGCATTACAATTGCACGTATGCTTTGAACAGTTCCTTTAATTTTTTTGGATAAAAATATTTTCCCCTCCTAAATTCATGTGCACGTCCGGGCGTTTTGACGTACAATCGTAGACAGCGCCTGATTGGACTATTATTTTGAAACCACTGTATTGACTTTTTGTATATATGTTTTGTAAATAGATGCATATTCATGTACATATTTTGCACTCTCTCTGTACCTATGTATCTGCAATGGTTATGAGAATATTAAATTAAAGATATTGAGTATTTGACTAGATGAAAAACAGCTTGTATATACAATTTTTAGTAAACAAATTATATAATTATACCGTGGGATCAAAACACAGAGTTATGCATATTTAGTGTTAGAGCCATAATTATGAAGTAATTTGTCAAAAAAAGTCGTACACTACACTTTAAAAAATGTTTTCTGATAGAACGGAACAGGAGCGATTTTTAAAAATTTAAACTTAATTTGATCTTTAATTATAATTGTCTAAAAATAATGCACTACAACATACCTGTTCTCGGCTTTGTGATTGTCGTATAAAGTAGGACTGTCGGACCCCATCATACAGATAGAGATATATCCATCCTTTTTGTCTATTGTATCCAGCAAACGAATTAAAAATAGAAAATTTTACTTTCGTTTTGTAAAACGGGTTGTCGCTCCTGACAAGGAAGCTAATTAGATATGGAAGGTGACGGAATGGAGGTAGATCCCCACATACAACCACAAGGTGATCCTATTCACCAGTCAGAACCTCTGCCAGGATATTCACAAATCCGTAATGAGGCTGGAGGATACGTATTCGAAGTTTCGGATATCGATAAACTCAAAAGATTTCTGTGTCTTGGGACTGAACTTGGGTATTACCAAGCAAATTCGCCTCACCGAAATTTTTCTAGAAAAGAAGTTCAAGCAATAGACAGGTAAAACTAGTTATTAAAATTTTGTGAAACTTCTATTGTTTTTATACGCCCGTTTACGGGACGTAACGGTATTATGGTATACCATTGTTCGTCCGTCCGTCGTCAACATGTCGGACATTAACTCAAAAACCCTTCAACCAATTTGCATGAAACTTTGGTGAATTGTTTATATATATTGTAGTGAGCTCCCTTTCGTTTTTTTATAAATTTTAGATTTGACGTTTCCGAGTTCTGGGGTTTAATTTATTCATTAAAAAAAGGGGGATTTTCCAGTTTTCTGACAACAAATCAAAATTTCACCAATTTGCAAGAAACTTTGGTGAATTGTTTATATATATTGACATGAGCTCCCTTTGGATTTTTATAAATTTTAGATTTTACGTTTCCGAGTTATGGGGTTTTATTCATAAAAAAGGGGGATTTTCCAGTTTTAGGACAATAACTCAAAAATGCATGAGCAGTTTTTATGAAACTTTGGTGAATTGTTTATATCAATTGATTTGTAAGCTCACTTTCGATTATTATAAATTTTAGATTTTACGTTTCGGAGTTATTTGATTTAATTCATGAAAAAGGAGGGATTTTCCAGTTTTCAGACAATGCTTTGACCAGTTATCATGAGACTTTGGTATGGCAAGCCGTTTTTATATTTATTCAATTTCAAGATATCTCATAGAGTAAATAAGATATCTTATAAAGTAAATAAGATATCTTATAAAGTAAATAAGATATCTTATAAAGTATATAAGATATCTTCTAATGTTTATAAGATATCTTATTTAATTTGAATCTAATAAGATATCTTATTTATTTTATAAGATATCTTATTAACTTTTAAAGATGTCTTGTATAGTTTATAAGATATCTTATATCTTTTTAAAGATATATTTTAAACAAATACTTTATGAGATATCTTGTATAGTTTATAAGATATCTTAAAAAGTATATAAGATATCTTATTAACTATATAAGATATCTTATTAGTTATACAAGATATCTTATATGATTGATTTATCAGATATCTTATTTAGTTAATAAGATATCTTATTTAGTTTAAAAGATATCTTATTAAGTTTATAAGATATCTTTATACGAAACTATATAAAAGATATCTTATATAGTTTATAAGATATCTTATAAACTTAATAAGATATCTTTTAAACTAAATAAGATATCTTATTAATTAAATAAGATATCTTATATGTTAAATAAGATATCTTTATAACCAGTTTAATAAGATATCTTATTTAATTATCAAGATATCTCAATTCATTTATAAGATATCTTATTTAATTATAAAGATAATCTGATTTACCTTAATAAGATATCTTGAAAGTGAATAAATATAAAAACGGCTTGCCACACTTTGGTGACTGGTTTATATCTATTAAGATAACCTCCATTTACTTTTTCTTGAATTTCTGATATGACATTGAGAAGTTATTGAACTTTATTCTTTGAAAAAGCGACGGGCGTATCATGCGCTCACGGCACAGTTGTTTATTATTTATGTGTCTATATTGAAGTAAAACGACTGATTAGCTCCCTTCAAGTCTCATGACTGAACAACATTGCAGTTGTAATCTGAGTTATATTGTACATATAGATTTTGTATATATGATAGACATAAAAAAAACCAACACGAAATAAAGAATTGAGAGTAATTTGATTTGATCGCAAACATAAATTGTTTGAACATAGAAGTCCCTAAAGGGACACGAAGAGCACGGGCCCACACATAGAGATTTAGCAATGAAATTTAAATATAAAAACTGGTCATTATTTATCTCCAAGGGGGGGGGGATGTAAATTTGAAATGATAAAATATAATTGCCCCCCTTGTTCAAAATGTGTTCACAAATTTGACCCCCCTCTCTCAACTACATATATAAACACTTTTGACCCCCTCTTTTTTATTATAATTGAAAGGTTTCAATTCAATCTTCATAATTCTTATTAACAGATAAAGTAGCTCAAAGGGAATGGAATTAAGGTATTTTAATAAACATATTTGTTATTCGTTCATTTTTTGTACATAAATTAGGCCGTTAGTTTTCTCGTTTGAATTGTTTTACATTTGTCATTTTCGGGCCTTTTATAGCTGACTATGCGGTATGGGCTTTGCTCATTGTTGAAGGCCGTACGGTGACCAATAGTTGTTAATTTCTGTGTCATTTGGTCTCTTGTGGAGAGTTGTCTCATTGGCAATTATACCACACCTTCTTTTTTATATACACTGAGAAATGCATTGAGGACAAAAACAACCGATAGAAGGATACCCTGATGTAACTTCACAGTCTTCAACAAGCCAAATGCCCATTGTTGAAGAAACACTTCCAAGAATTTGTGCCATAAATACAATGTACTACAGTATCAATAATAAGTTTATTTTGAAACATTGTTCTAAACAATCATTCTATAATAACCTCAAATCAGCATTATGATTGCTATTTTAAATCACAAATTTTGTTTATCAAAAACTTGGCCACAATCATTACTATGATTACTAAGGGTATATATTTCAAAAACATAATACCAATGACCTCGGCTGTCAAACAATATGGCCGACATGGCTTAACATAGAACATATGGGTAAAATGCAAGTTTTGCCTTTTATTTGGAAAATCGCTATGAATAGAGAAAATGATGAATTTTATTAATTTAACAAAATATGTGTGCCTATTATCTCGAAGATATTAATAATGTTGATAGAAACTTAAGAAATCAAAAATGATCAGCAAGACAAGATCTACAAATAAGTCAAACATTGTCAAATGACTGAAATAAACACTCGACTTCTTATGAGAGTTATCGCCCTTGAATGACGATTTTTACATTTTTTTTTGCGTTTTTGCCTCATATCTTAAATATTGAAATAGATAAAGAGAATCTTTAAAAGGCAAAAATGATCAGCACGACTGGATCTACAAAAAAATAAACATAGCTGAGATCTTCAATTATTGGCCTTTGATTTTTTTTATCTTTTTTTTTTCGTAAGTGCCTAATATCTTAAAAAAACTATAAATTCTATAATAGATAGATAGCAATTTTAAAAAGCAGAATTGATCAGCAAGACAATAACCGAGATCGTTACTCGACTTCATATCGTAGTTATAATTGCTCTTTTAATGACAATTTCCCCCAGTTTTGCCTATTATCTTGAAAACTGTAATAGACAGAGAGAAGCTTTAAATAGCACAAATTATGAACAAGACCAGATCTACTTATGTGCCAAAATCTTCAGTTGATTTGTTATTTGAGTTATTGCCCATGAAAAAAAACAACATTTTTATGAATATTTTGCCTATTATCTTGAAAACTACAATAGCTTAATAAAAACTTTAAGAAAGAAACATTATCAACAGGATAATCTCTACAAACATGTCAAAATGAATGAAATTGTCCTATAGAATGATTCCCCTTTTATGGTGATTTTTTTTAACTAAAAGTGGCTATTGTTGATGATTCAGGTGAGCAACACATGCTCTTCAGAGTCTCTAGTTAAGTCGACATAACACTTTTACACTTAAAGCTGCAATCGCTGGCTGTGTTTCACAGGGTTCAGCAGAACCCCTAACGAATTTTTATTTTTATGCCTTGGCATTGTCTGCTAGTTTTCGACTATAAGTTTTAATATCCCTTTGGTATTTTTCACTTTTGGCAGTTTCGTTTCCAACATACATTACACATTTGCTCATATTCTGAATCACACTGTCACATGAATATATATAAGAAGATGTGGTATGAGTGCCAATGAGACCACTCTCCTTCTAAGTCACAATGTATAAAAAGTTTACAATTATACGTCAAAGTACGTGCCTTCAACACGGAGCCTTAATTCATACCGAACAGTAAGCTACAAAGGGCCCAACAATGAATAGTGTAAAACAATTCCATCGGGAAAAGCAACGGTCTTATTATAAAAACGAAAAACACACAAATAGTTATAAGAAGATGAGGTATGAATGCCAATGAGACTTTCCATCCAAGTCACAATTTATAAAAGTACACCATTATAGGTCAAAGTACGGCTTTCAACACGGAGCCTTAGCTCACACCGAACAGCAAGCTATAAAGGGCCCCAAAAAATTACTAGTAAATACCCGAATTGTAATGACATTGTTTGTTTCAAAGCATGACCACTTTTTTAACACCACTTTATCTTGTTTCAGATTGATCCAGCAAGGACGCGGTAATGAAGTCGTTAAATGTATTAAGGACGTCAGTGTTCTAAATAGAGCATGTAAACAGAACCCAACATTGTATGCATTAGCAGTTTGTGCCAGATCAAACGACCTTAGTACAAAGCACGCTGCCTACAGTGTACTCAATGGTGTGTGTCGTGTACCTACTCATTTGTTTCAGTTCATAAAATATTGTGAAGAAATGAGCGAACATGAGACTGGTTGGGGAAGAGCACATCGTATAGCCATTAGCCAATGGTATAAACAATTCGTTGAAGTAGGTCCAAATGCTCGTAAAACCCCATTGAAACTTGCTTATCTTGTTACCAAGTTCCGGTGTCGATGTAAATTGCGCCACAAAGATGTCATACGACTAGCTCATGTCCGGTCGAGAAATAAAGCGATAAGGATAACTTTGCAATACGCCCTTGGCAAGACAATGGAAGTTGATGATTCTACGGAATCTATTGAGGTAAAGAATTTTCTCGCGGCAGTTCAAGAAGCAAAACGTTGCATCCCAGTGAACGATGAAGAAAAAATATGTGAATTAATCGGTATTCATCAGCTGAGCTGGGAGCATGTTCCAAACCGGTTTCTCAAACATAGTGTTAAAGTTTGGGACTCTCTTTGTCGGTTGATGCCAATGACAGCTATGATTAGAAATCTTGGGAAAATGACGAGTTTAGGCATGCACGCAGATAGACCAGGAAACGAATTTTGGGTGAATCATGTAGTAGAGAAACTTGATGACGATATACAGTTAGCACGTGCTCGTATCCATCCGTTGACACTACTGATTGCAATGAAACATTACGAACAGGGGGCTAATAGAAATAAAAAAATATTATGGACTCCTAATCCTAGAATCATAGATGCACTAAACAACGCTTTCATCAGGAGTACAAAAATAATGCAACCGCAAGGAAGGAAGTATTTGATGGCTATATCTGTTGGGGAGGATATGCGAAAACGTATTTGTGGATCTACGATAACAGCTGGGGAAGCAGCAGCAGCAATGGTGTATTCAACCATTCAAACAGAAGATGTGGAAGTGATTCTGTTCACAAACAGAATTGATGACGCTTCTACTGCAACTATTAAAAGGGAAGACAATCTTCAAAATATAAAAGAGAAAATATTTCAAATACCAATAGAAACAAGATCTGATTACATCAAGCAAGACTTATCAGTCCCCTTTATATGGGCGGCATCAAGGAAAAAGAAATTCGATGCCATTATGGTTTTCACAGATTCAATGACAAGTTGTGGATTTATCCATCCGACAGAAGCTTTAAAGCAATACGTACAGTACATGACAATTCCTGACTACCGATTTGTTGTTGTGACTATGACCAGCAATAAATACTCGGTTGCTGCTCCTGACAGTGTGCACAACCTGGACGTTGTTGGATTTGATACAATGACACCAGGCCTTATCATGGAATTCGTAGAAAATTCTGGACAAAGTCACATTGTGAACGATGACATTATTTTGCATGCTGATGAGGACAGATTTTAAGTTCATATCAAACCCCTTTTTGTCCAATATGGAAGCATTTACAATTTGAAAATTTTTCTGTGAACAAACAATCCAGTGCTATAGTGAACGTTTTAATGTACAAATGTAAGACCATGATGACCGCAATATATTCTAAGTTGAAATTGATATTAATGACATAAAACTAAAGTTAAAAAATAGAAATTAATTTACAGAAAGCTATATGAAAATTGTTTTATGAATTAAGCAAATCCATTAAAAAACTTAGCTAATTTTGTCAATCTATAAATAAATAAATCAAATTACTGAATCAGATGTACTTGGATATATATGCCTAATCTAACCGTGTTTTTACATTTTGGATATTAAATCACAATCCAAGTTCAGATATTTGAAAATATTTAAATGTCAAGTTATTTTTTTTCAAAGTATGCATTTATTGTATGTGGCATGCCTAAATAACGTCCATATGGATTGTTATTCAAGATTTCACTTGCCCTAACTAAGACCTAAAACTACATCAGGTCAGCTTGTGTTTGCAGTATAAACTATAACTTATACATGTTATATATAGGTATATCTTTAAAAAATTAGCATTAGATTTTCAAACTAACATACTGGAATTAATTCCATATATGATTATGAAAAACTATTAGCAAATAGTCATTACTTATACTCGTTTGATTAATTTGCACGTCATGCTAGCTGAATCTAAATAACTTAAAATGAGACCATGTTATTGTCATATAGAATAATAACTGATGACATGCATTGTGCTGAAATTTGCACTTCATAATGTTTCAAATGTATGAAAGAAATGAAAAGAAAAAGACTATTAAGATGAGTGATTTGTAAGTATAAAACCAATACCGCAGATACATAATTTATTGATGCCAACAACATTTAACTTCATGAACTGGTAGTTCTTTTTCATGTGATGCTTTATAATAATATCTATAATACTAAAAATAACGAGGTCCAATTTGTTAGCCGTCATGGGGTAAAACGACAAATCAAAGAATTCAACTGTATATATAGCTAATATAGGACAATGGTGTTGATTAAAAATTACACCATTCCAGACCCTTTTGTTTTCCACATAATTAATATTACAAAAATTAACAAGTTCCGGGTCGAACCCGATACCGATACCAAAAGTATATTCACCTGTTACATATAACCTTATCTGTACGTTCCGCATCTGACAGGCGAACCACCAAACGGTGTATTTAGGATTTGCTATATACACGGGTCATAATCACAGGGTTGACACTACTAAATTCAATCATTGTCACATTGTTTCCTATTGTAGTATTGTAATCAGCATGAATTTATAAGATGACAATACGAATACTAAAAAGACTTAAAATACGATGGGTGCCTCTAGTGGAACGGTTTACTCTTCTGGAGCAATTAAGTTCACCCAAGGTAGGCGCAACACGATGGGTACCTCTAGTGGAGCTACCTACCCGTATGGAGCAGCTTAGTTCTCCCTAGGTGGGAGCAACACAATGGGTACCTCTAGTAGAGTTGCTTACCCTTCTGGAACAGCTCAGTTCACACTAGGTAGGAGCAACGAGATCGTTACCCCGAGTGAAGCTGCTTACCCTAGATAGTTGCATAATGATTTGTACCTCTAGTAGAGCTGCTACCCTTCTGGAGCAGCTTAATTCACCCTGGGTAGGAGCAACACAATGGGTTTCTCTAGTGGCGCTGCTTTTCCTTCTAGAGCACCTTAGTTCAGTTCCGACTAGGTAGGAACAACACGATGGGTATCTCTAGTGAAGCTGTTTTTCGTTTCTGGGCAGCTCCATAGGTAGGAGCACCACCCAGGGTACCTCCAGTGGAGCTGCTTTCCCACCTAGAGCATTTTAGTCTCTTTGTCGTAACAACACGATGGGTACCTCTAGTGAAGCTGAAGTCGAGCTTGTGATGCTCAATCTTTAATTTTATGTTCAACCCCCCTCACATTATGAGTCATTGCCATATATAAAAGCTCTTCATCAACGTCTATAAATGTAATAAGAATCTTATATTTTGTAAGTATTTGTTAAGGAATTTGAAATTGCAGAATTTTAGCGAACAAAGCGTCCACGGGTGTCTAAAAATGACGATGACAAATTCATATTTGTGGAGACATTTACATGTGTCGTTTGATTTCTATCTCCTTGAAATATACCCGCAATCTTGTTTTATTGATTCAAACAAAATGAACATTCCATTCTCAATTTTACTTATACTAGCTAAATGTAGTCTTTTCGTTTTTAGTATCTGATGGTTCCTATCTCATTAACGTATATCGAACACATATTTCTTTTATTCACGGCTGACACCTTGGATGATTTATTCCTTATTGGTATCCGATTCTTCGGTTGTTCTATCTGAATTATCCGTAGTACAATATTGGAATGCAGATAGATTGACTTTATAGATCTAGATTTAGTAAAATCACATTAGGGAATTTGAACTAAAGAATTACAGCCTTATACCCGGTATGATTTTTTTCTTTCGTTTATTGAATAAACAGACCGTTTGTTCCTCCAGTATGAAGAAACCATGACTTAGTGGAGCATTGTACATATTAGTATTCAAAGAATCTGTCATTTGATTAATAAAAATCAAAAAGTAAGACCAATATATGAATATAACAATGAACAAATTGTTATCATTTTAGGTTACCATTATACACGTCTGTATCTTTGATATAAAGTTGTTGTAAGTGTAGCTTCTCGCATGGTTAAAGAATGACAACCACCACCTTTCACTGTGCATTCAATGATCGTGGTTCGAACTTGGCAACTATCATATACTAATCACACGTACAATGTATGAAAAGAAAAAATATAAGTACAGATATATTATGAAACCATTCTATAGTGATTTTGATAGCGGCGAACATACTACATGTACGTACAATATATAAACTGAAAGGAACCCTTGCAATTAATGAAATCGGGAAGCATTTTAATTCTATTTAGAGGAATGTGTGTTACTCGCCCGTTAGTTAAGATAAAGAAGCATTGTAGTGTTTTCTAGACTGTTATTTGATTTATCATTCATAATTATTTTCTTTATACCAATTTGTCATTCGTCTTTTGTACTCTCATGCTTTTCGTTTGTAACCTTGGTATGTATATATAAGAAGATGTGTTATGAGTGCCAATGAGACAACTCTCCATCCAAGTCATAATTTGTAAAAGTAAACCATTATAGGTCAAAGTACGGTCTTCAACATGGAGCCTTGACTCACACCGAACAGCAAGCTATAAAGGGCCCCCAAAAAATGACTAGTGTAAAACCATTCAAACGGGAAAACCAACGGTCTAAACTATATAAAAAACGAGAAACACTTATGAACCATATCATCAACAAACGAAAACTACTGAACATCAGATTCCTGACTTAGGACAGGTGCAAACAAATGCAGCGGGTTTAAACGTTTTCATAGATACCAATCTTCACCCTTATCTGAAACAATAGTGTAACATCACAACATAGAAAGACATACTATAAAATATCAATTGAAATGGCTTAACTCAATTAAAAGACATATTAACACTAGTGAACATATATGTTCCCTTTTTCACTCGTTGTTTTGTTAATGAAACCTGTTAACTTCTATGGTCTGATAACTTTAAATACTCTCTATCCTGTCACAAATACTGGCCATTTCATATAGATTTTAATATGAAAACTAACGAAACAGGAGTTTTTTTTTTTATTTGTTTTGCTTGGTTATCTGTACTAATCAGCCAGCTGCTGTTGCTGCACAAGCTAGCATCTTTTAGAAGCCAGCACATTTTGTTTTTCTTTTTTCAACGTTAAGTATCGTCAGTTGTTTTTATGTTTAACTAGCTATACATGCAGCTATAGAGGGTTATCATTTTGGTATCTGAACTGTGCATACTTTATATTGTGTGTTCTACTGTTACGACACAATCTTTTGATAGGCAAAAGGGTGCCTTTGCGCACGTTAAACGTTAAAAGTGCAATCGTTTTATGTACATGTGCCAAGTCAAGATTTTGGACCACATGTTCTCTTTGTGCATTCTCATCGAAAGAGTCAGTTGTGATCTGATGTTGATTGTTGAACTGCCGAATATTGTTTGTTGTTATTAAAGCACTTGACTCTCACTTTTTTATGTGTAGCAAACATTTCACAATAGTGTCTAGCAAGTTCTTATGCAACTGATTTTTACAGTTTTTTTCTATTTTGTGCTATATGAGCGCACACAATATGCGTTTAAACCCCGCCACATTCTTTTTGTGTCTGTCCGAAGAGGCTGTAGGATCAGTTGTTGTCAATGGTTTATATTTGTCATATTTGTTTTTCGCAATTTTGTTGATAATAAATTAGACCGTTTGATAGTTTTCTAATTTGAATTATTTCACAGTTTTCAACTCTGGGACATTGTAGCCAGCTCTGCGGTATTAGTTTTATTCATTTTTGAAGGTCATATGGTTGCCTATAGTTGCTTACACTCACTACATTTGAGTAGTTTTAGTTGTCTCATTGGAAATTGTGATTTTGATTGTGCGATAATGCGCCAGAGGAGCCCTGCACAGTATAGAAAGAAGAAATCATGTCACATCTCCTTATTTTCAATCTATACTTGCAATTGCTATTTTTTAATGACTTAACCGATGTTCTGAGTTTGTCAGTTCCTATGTATTTGAAAATATAAGAGACCAGAACATACATTGTCTACACAGTAGCTATATAGAATATCAACGTCTCTTGAAGATTTAAGTTTTTTTTTTATTCCAGTCTTAACAACTAACTGAAACATTATAGCCACTATAACCATGTTATTTCATGTATTTAGGTACAATACTGAAAGATTAATCAAGTCGTCATACTGCATGTAATGTGCTTATTTATGAAAATCGTAACATTGTTACACTACTGGAACAATGCCCCGTAGATAGGCAGTGAAAATATCCGTAAAAATGCTGGTGATTTTTACAGTGTTTGTCACGGTTAATTTACAGTGGGCCGTGAAACTTATCCGTGACAATGCCGTGGAATGACTGTCGTGAAAAGGCTGTGAATAGTTTGTGAAAAGGCCGTGAAGAGGTGCCACCTGAAAACTTGGGTGAAAAGACCGTAGAAACCCTGTGAAAAAAAAAAATGTACACTGTGAAAAAGTCGTGATAATGCATTATGTGCCCATTGTGAAAAGACCGTGAAATGTAGATATAGTACAGTATATGCCTTTATTTGTCGTGAAAAGGTGCCAACTGAAAACTTGGGTAAAGAGACCGTAGAAACCCTGTGAAAACAAAAATGTACACCGTGAAATAGTCGTG